CCGGGCGCACATGTTTCAGATGGATCGTCATGGGCAACTCTAATTAGGTAAGTATGCCACAATGACGTCCATTTCGCGGGTTCCATGAGGTGTCGGTTTTACCTCTGACAATGCTTTTGTATGTCTTTGACCTGATAATACCTCAGGTGCTATGTAAGGTACTATGCCATATATTCCTCTATTTATAGAAGATTCATTTACTTGTCTACACAATCCTTAATTTTAGTAATATGAATTGAGGCAAAACATATAGTCGATTAGTTGATTATTTTAAAAAATCAATTAAAAATCGATCAGTTAATAGTAATCGATTAATCAATTGATTAGTTGATTGATTGATTAATCAATTAATAGTTGGCTTAAAATTTTAATCGATCAGTAATAGATTAATCAATTGATTGATTGGTTGATTAATCGATTAATAGTTGGCTTAAAATTTTAATCGATCAGTTGCCAACTCATTACTAACCTAAATCTGCAATTTTGGGCTCTACATTTAGTTTTCCTCCGAAATTTTGTGAAATCATTAAAATTTTGCCATTTACTTGGAAATATTGTATCGCAATATTCTTAAAATCTTCAACGCTAAACATAAGTATATTGCGGCTATGAAAATCTTGATGTATATATTTTTGATGAATATGATTTAAGTTATCAGATATCGAATAAAGAATGTTTTTTTTTGTTTCCATAAAGAGTTGTAAAATTAGTTGATAGATAATCACGAAGATCTCCTTTGTCTGCATATTCAAAAACCATCATGTATTCTTTTTTGTGAATTATAAGTTATTCCATATGTTTCAATACTATATTTATCAACACTATATCTTTTAAGCTGACATTCAAAGTAAGCTTTAAACTTTTAAGAAATAAGTTCGCTACTATTATAGTCATAATGTATATTTTCAAAATGATTAAATAACAAGTATATATTTTTACCTCTTTCAGAAAATCCAATGAAATATTTTGATTTCCATTTAAACTTTTAAGGGCAACTATACAATTTAGTTTACGTGATGGTACTAATTTTTTATCATCTATAACCTTATAATTTCGCTTACCATCTATCCAAATTGCAGAATAAACTGTACCAAATCCACCCATACCAATTTCTTGAATGTCTCTTAAACTATCAAAAGATATCCATTAAATTACTTTATGATAATGTTCTGACTTTAATTGTGCATCCTTTGTAAATTTATCTATCAAGATTGCCGCTAGTCTACTCCTGGCTTATTTGAGCATCACATGAATGGCAAAAGAAAACTCCAGAATTAAACCGTTTGCATTTTTCACAAGTTCCAAATCGACTGGGAATTGTTTCATTATTATTTAATACCTCTGTATTATCTGATCTGATAATCAAAGATTCATTTAGATCAATAATTGCTTCATCGTATCTCCCCATTTGTCGATAAAGATCTCCACGATTAGTCAATGTTAAGGTATTTTTTGGATTATTGTCTAGTGCTAGATTAAAATCTGCGAGCGTTTCTTGGAGTTTGCCCATCTTTAAATAAATTAAACCACGATTATTCCAATTTATGGAATCATTTGGATTGATCTCTAATGATTTATTTAAATCATCGAGTGATTCTTCATATTTACCCATAAATTGATAAGTTAATCCACGATTATTAAATGCCAGGGCATTACTCGGATCGATTTCTAATGATTTATTTAGATCTATAAGTGATTCTTCTTATCTTTCCATATGTTGATAAGTAGTTCCACGAATAGCTAATGTTATAGCATCGTTTTGATTAATTCCTAACGATTTATTTAAGTCTGTAAGGGATTATTCGTATCTACCCATTAATTGATAAGTTAATCCTCGTAAAGTTAATGATGTAACATTATTTGGATTGAGTTCTAATGATCTGTTTAAATCCGCAAGTGATTTTTCATACATTTTCATATTGTGATAATTTCTTCCACGTTGATCAAATGCTAGTAAATTATTTGGATCGATTTTTAATAATTTATCAAATTCTTCATTTGATTTTTTGTACTTTCCCATCCTTTGATAGGCTAATCCACGATAATTTAATGATGCGGCATTATTTGGATTGATTTCTAATGACTTTTCTAAATCAGAAAGTGATTTTTCATCTTCTCTCATATCTAGATAAGTCATACCACGACTATTCAATGCCAAAACATAAGTTGGGCAAATTTTTAAAGATTTGTTTAAATCTGAAAGTGATTCTTCAAATTTCTCAATGTTTCGATAAGCCATCCCACGAGCGTTTAATGCTCTATGATTATTTGGGTTAATTTTTAATGAGTTGTTTAAATCTTTAAGTGATTCTTTAAAATTACCCTTGACCAAATAATATAATCCACGCATAGTTAATGCGTCAGCATTATTTGGGGACTTTTTTAACGATTTATTTAAATCGACTAATGATTTAGTATCTTCACCGATTATTAAATAAGTCATTCCACGGAGATTTAATGTTTTAGTATCATTTGGAGAAATTTTCAATGCCCTAGTAAAATCATCAAGTGGTTCTTTATTCTTGCCAATATTTTGATAAACTGTTCCACGAAATGTCAATGCTACAATATGGTTTGGATCGATTTCTAATGACTTATTAAGATCCTCGAGCGCATTTTCATATCTACCTAATCTTTCATAAGCAGATCCACTAAAACACAATAATGGAACATTAGTTGGATAAATTTCTAACAGTTTATCAAGATACGTAAGTGATTCCTCATATTTTCCTGATCTAAAATATATTGTCACGCGTATAATTTGATGAAAGTTATAGAAGCTATTATATTTAAAAAATATATATAAAATGAATAATTTTTAGATTAAAAAAAATTTTTTAAATATAAGCAATGCATATCAAAAACTTACATTTTTGTGGATCAAAGCAACAACGACAACAGCAGCACAAGCAACAAAGTGCAAAAAGAAAAATAATAAATATAGCGATATAAACATATTTATTTGAAAAATTCGTTGTTTCAATCCCCATTTTGATTAACTCGAAATCAGTTTAAGTTTATATTTAAATTAAATCTCTTTCTCTGCACTTATACTTATAAAAAATCTTTGGTTTGATAATAGAATTTAAAGACATTGTAACACAAAGTTATATGTCTACCTTTAACTATTTTAAGTTTTGGGGAATAAATATTTATTATATTTATGTGTACGTACCTACGTACGTACAATGAATCACGATACATACAAGTTAGAAATAACATTTACACAAATCTGTTTTTATTATTATCACAAACCTATAAACGCATAAGTGAGCCAAAAGTTTTCCATAAAGCTTTGTTACAGAGTTTTGCACCTGAGACAAAGTCCTTGGATATATCATAGATATATTTATTTCTGATTATTAAATATGATCTAAATTCAGTATATCCTTGGTTCATATTGGGAACGTAAAAATAGCCTGCAAAAGCAATTCCCATTTTTTCCATGTAGTATTGGAGTGCGCGGTGTTCTATGTAAATCAAACCTATAAAACTTATTAATGGATTTTTTTAGACAGCGATTGAATGTACAGCCTTAACGGTTTGATAGTATTGGATAAAATTTTGAAAAGGCTAGTGTTATGTCTCTACAAATAAGGCTATAGAGTCATTTCTTTCTTTAAATGCGAAAAAAATTTTAATATGCTATGTTTTTTTTTTCTAAAGACAAAAACACTGGCCTTTGCGAAATTTATCCAAAATTATCAAATCGTTAAGGCTGTACATCTATTTGAAATTTTGTACATAGTGTAGTATAGTTGGCGGTAGAATTAATTTGTCAAATCAATACGGAAACAGCACGTGCCGTATTATTTGTCACTCGATCACTACCTCTAAATAACATAATACACACGAAATACACATAACGGGATTTTGTTCAGCTGCTCACGTGGTCATCAGCTGTTATTATAGTATCGACTTTCTTTCTCTCTTTTGTTGTTTATTTGTTTGTTTGTTTTTTTTTTTTTTTTTTTTTTTTTTTTTTAATTATAGAGTGAGGCCTGGCCTCGGTCTTTATTGAACAATTTGGTATTACATTAATTAAAACGTTTTATATAAATTATTACAGGGACCTATAGCTAGGACTAATTTATCCTCAGCCCAAAACTCTACTAGAGTAGGCTATCAGATCTCTTCTAGGTTTAGTGTTGCTATATAAGAAGTAGATATGTTTGTAGTAGAAAAAATATTTGCCCATTTTTCATATTTTGTTTTAGCTGTTTGGTCTGTAACTGGATGTTCAGGTGTCATTACTGTAAGTATGTTTGTTAGTAAGTTATTTTGATGCATTGCTTTGCATCTTTCTGTCCAAATTTGCTTATATATATTACTTGATATTTTGTAGAATAGATTAATAAGTAGGCTTGAAGTAATGTTACAATTTGTGAGTATATTATCTGGAATTAAACCTTGTATTCAAAGAAAATGTTGAGTAGTAGTTTGTGTTGAAGTAAATTGCTGCAGTAGAATGAGTATATTGCTGTTTCTTATTTTGTGTTTTGTACAAAACTTGTGTATTGTTTGTTGAAGTAGTTAATTAAGAGTTATGGAGTTTGTCTGACATTCAAGTCAATGTAGGTTATCCTCTATATGTAATGTGTAGTGATTACAGGTTGGATTGGTATAAGTTTTAGGTTTTTTGTAATGTAGATTTAATAGTGTAGGTAACTCATTTAGTAAAAACTTAATTTTAAAGTTTTTTAATTGTGAGTGTTGTTATAATTAATGAATTGGTATATTAGATCTCAGTTAGTATTTTGATGAATAATATTCCAATGACTAGTTCTATTTAAGGCATATCATTTTGCAGTATTAGTTGTATTTTGTAGATGATGAATGAAGTGGTGGGTTTTATTTTCTATTGGTATTCTATTTCAAGTAAGATAGAAGTTATTATTGTCTAAGACATGAGGTTGAGTATGAAGTTTATATTGTTGTGTTGTAGTAGAAAGATGAACTGTTTTGTTGTAAAGAGGGTGGTTATCTGGGTTCTCTATATTAATATATTTGATTTTAAGGTGTTTGCAAGCAATGATTGTTTGTATTAAGAGTTTGAGTGGTCAGTGATTATATTTTTGTAAGATAAGTATTGTGTTTGATGTTGGCATAAGAAGTGAGTTAATATAATTGGTTGTTGATTTATGTGTTATAAAGACTATTATTTGATAATTTTGTAAAACAATGATTAGTATTGTTATAATACCAATAAGGTATGCTTGTGTAATAGAAGGTCAGTGTATAATTTGAGAAGAGAATGTAATATTAGTAGATGCAAGAATTTAGGCAAATTGAGCCTGTGAGCTTGGGATATTTGGTTAGATTATAGTTGTATGGAGGTATAGTTGAAGCTTTTTAGCTTGTGAGTTAATTGTTAAAAGATGAGATAAACATGCATTGGATGTATCTGGTAAAAATAATTAGTGTATTAAGTTATTTGTAAATATTGAAGTAGTTGATGGTTGAGAATTATTTTTGTTAGTTGAAGCAATAGTAGAATGTGGAGTTGGTTTTATATTGGCACTATAATAATATTTGAATTGTAAGATGTGGATGATGTTATGCTAGGTTATTAATCTTTATACAGAGAAATTTTGCACTAAACACTTTGATAGCTGTGCACTGAGATGTTTTAAGCATTATTATACATTGCTAGTTAGTAATAGTAATAATGTTTTTGCAGTTCATACATTTTGACAGTGGAGCTATATATTGAAGCTCTGGTGGTAGTAAGTGATAGTGTTTAATATATATTGTATTGCTTGTATGAATGGTGTTTTGTATTTTGCCTATGATCTGAGTTTTGTTAGTTTTTCCTAGAACTCAGGTGCTTCTTTTTAGTATGATAGAATTTGTAATAAATGGGTTAGGAGTAATAGTAAGAATAAATGGTGTTGTAGATGCATAGAAGGTATTGTGTAATTCAAGAAACCATTTTGGAGTTCTACCTCTAGGTATCTTAAGTGTTTTATATACAATGCATTGTCATGGAACTAGTTGTATGTTTGTGGAATTAGTAAGTTGTTTGATAGTATAGATGTTTGCTTTATTAGTTACTGATTTAATATATAGTAGTTTGTTGCAGAATTTAATTAGTGTATCAATTGGGGTGCCTTTGTATATAGTGGTATAGGCTAAGAGTTGGAAAGGTTTTCTATGTTAATGTTAAGCTGATGTGCTGTTTAAATAGTTTGGGTTATGAGTGTATTGTGAAATTTGGTAAATAGTATATAGTTAGAAGTAAGTAAAATGTTATTTGATGAAAATGTAAAATTCTGGAGATGTTGAATAATAATTTTGATTGATGGGACTGTTAGAGTGTTGTTTAGTTGTGTATAAAGTGATGAGATATGGTTTTGTGTTTGAATATCAGTTAAGCTATGAAGATTATAAATTTGGTAATGAAGTATAGTGAAGTTTAGTATTGTTGAGGCAAGTCCTGCTTTGTGTTTTACTACTTGCATATATAAATTAGTTATGCCTTGCATAGTGGATTAGTACATGAATATGTTCATGGTCCTGTATGAGAAGCAAGGTACAAGTACCATGTTAACTATATAAATTGTTTATTTTTCAGTAATCTTTTTGTTTTTTATAATATTAATCAGGTTTGTAGCTTCAGTAGTAATCTGATTATAAATGTGTTTGTGATAATTCAAAAGTGTAAACCAGCAGCCTAAGTATTAAAAAGTTTGTTTTAAAAATATAGTATATATAGTTGTGTTTGCAAAGTTGATTATAGGATTCAGATCTTTGGTTTGATTTGTTGTAAGGATTGATTTTGTAGAGTTAACTATAATGTTAGCTATGTTGTAAAAGGACTCAACTGTTGTAACAATTTGTTGCATAATTTGTTTGTCAGGAGCTAGCCATAAGGTATCATCCGTCTAGGCAAGAACTGAGGTATAATATGTGTATAGTTGATTTGTAGAAGAGAATATTGTTGACATATTATATTTATGAAATTTGGAGTAAATATGATTAATTAGAAGGTCATAATAGATGTGCCAGAGTAAAGGTATAATAGTCTCTTCTTGGTCTATACCATCTTGAACATGGTAGCTGAATGTAGAGCCAAGATTTGTAATAACTGAGTTATAGTGATTGTTGTGAATATTTATTATAAGTTGAGATATGTTTTGAGGAATTTTTATGTGATTCAGTACATGTTGAAGAAATAGAATGTGTACAAAATCATATGCTTTACTCATGTCCTGAGCTAAAAGTCAGATTTCTTTATTTTGTATATGTGTTTCTTAAAGTATATTTCTAAATATTTGTATGGGTTGTGTGGTAGAAGAATATGGTAAAGCAACAAAGTATGTGGATCAAGAATAGGATATTTGAATATTATTGAAATAAGTCTGTTGATGATAAGTTTTGTAAAGATTTTTCATGTATGCTCAAGAAGAGTAATAGGCCTCATATAGTTAAGTTGGTCTGTAAAAATAGGTTTTTTAGAGATTGGATATATTTTGCTCTGTTTTCAGGCAGTTGGTATGTCTGTGGTATTTATACACTTGTTAAATAAAATTGTAAGAAGCTTGATAATATTAGGATGAGTGTATTTAAGTATTTCATTAGAGATCAGTGTTGGTTCTGTTACTTTTTTGTTTAGTGCTAAGTTGATTGTATTAATTATTTTTTGTTGGGTTATAGGGTCTAATAGTGTATATACTATGAGGAAAGTATATTAGTTTTGGGGTTGTATTCATCTTTCTATTATTTCCAAAGAGTTGGATTATGTGAATTATGTTTGGTCCAGTTTGCAAAATGGTTTTTGATATATTGATGGATCTCTTTTAGTTCTGTAATGATTGAGTCCTGAAGCTTTATGTTATAAATAATACTGGGTCAGTGTGGCAGTTAATTATACTATTAATCATAGTTATTGTATTTAAGATAAAATTGTTGTAGCATATTTGAATATGTTGTTCAATTTATTGTGAGATTGCCTGTTTGTTTTTTAAATCATAAGTATGATATAGTGTTTTGTAATAGTTTTTTATTATATTAATAGTAGCAGGGAGTTGGTTAGAGTTGATATTGATTATGATGAAAGCTACAATAAATAGGTTTGTTAATAGTTGTAAAGTTTGTATTTTTTGATTAATGTTATTAATAATTGCATTAATAGTTGAGTTATTGTTATCAAGAGTGTATTTAAGATTTGTAAAAGTTTGAAGTATACTGCCACAGATGTTTAGTGCAGTATGTGTTTTTGAAGCAGTAGGTAAGAAGCTTTGAAATTGTTTTTGGAAATGGAAGGTAAAGGGTATATGTGTGTTTGTTGCAGTAAGTACTGTTGATTGGATTTGATGTCAAAGTTGATTTATTGTAAGTGCTGAGGCTGCTACTTCAGTAAGAGAAGATGAAAGTTAATGACTTTTTTGCTGAAACTGTTTCCATAGTTTATTGGTCATAGAATCATATTTAAACATTTTATATTTGTATTTTTTGTGTCATTTGGCTGATTTGATTTGTATTTAGAAATCAGTATAGATAATATAGTGATTACTGTTTATAATTTCAGTTGGATTAATAATGTTGGGAGTTGTAAATGTATATAAGATTTGTTGTAGGACCCAGATTTCATCAATTTGGCTAGAGAGGTTGTTGCGTGTCCAGGTTGAAGTATTAGGATATAATTATTTATTAAAGAAATAAAGTTATATGATAGAAGGTATTTATATAAAGTAGAGTGTGATGGTCTGTTGAGATCTTGGTTGAAATTTTCCATAATTAATAGAATAATATTGAGTTTTTGTGCTTGTTTAATCCAAAGAATAATTTGGTTTTGTGTTTGTTTGTTAACATCAGAATTATTTGGTAAGTATGTAGATATAATTCAAAGTTTGTTTTTGTGTAGTAAATAGAGATCAATTGCAATAGCAATACCATTAAGGGTTTGTATATTGTGGATGTATGTTGTAAGTAGTTGGTTAATAAGAACTATTGTTCCTGCACTTGATTCTCTAGGATGATTTGGATTAGTAGTATTGTTGTTTGACATTAAGGATTTGTAATTATTATTGTGAAGTGTAAGATGATTATATTGGTATTGTGCTAATTTGGTTTCTGTAAGTAATATAATATTGAACTATTGGCTAATGCAGTAGTTCAGCCATAGTTCTCTTTTGGTAATATTGTTGTATTCATGTATATTATGTGTTGTAATAGTTATGTACTGTTGTGTGTAGAAATTGTTATGTTAGTTGAAGAGGTGTATTGACATATTATTAGGAGATGTCTATAGCCACCATGTTTATTGTAGGTGACTGATTTAGTGATATAGTAGAAGGGTTGAATATTTCCCAAGTAAGTGTAGGCAATGGTGATAGGTTGAGTAAGCAGTTAGGAATTGTTCTAATAGTGTATATTTGTTTAAGAATTGTATTGTTGGTGTGATTTCTGGTTGTGAAGTTATTGGCAATGTAAGTTGTATGTTATTTAGCAATAATGCTAAGTTAATATCTTCAATGTTCTTTGGTATAAGTGAAAGTGGTTGTTTTGTTAGTTCAGTTATATTAGCATTAGTCTTGTCTGTTTGATCTGTATTCTGAGTAAGAGGATTTGCAATACTGATTCAAGATAATGGCAATTGTTTGAAGTAAAAATGCTGACAAAGTGTTTTTGCAATTTGAGTAAGTTGTTATGATGTTATAATTGGTAGTGTGATATTAAGCTTGACAAGTTCTTGTCTATCAGTTGATAAGGCTGATTTATTTATAGAATTTGCTTGCATTATATGGTCTAGTAGTAGGACCAGACACAGTAGTGTTGAGAAATTTTATTGAGGAAAGTTTTTGCTATTGTGTCATCAGTTATAGGGTATGTAAAATTTGACTCAGTATGGATGAGCTCAATTTTTGTTAGCAAAGATGGTTTGGTAATAAAATAGTCACTAGGAAGTAGTTTGAATATATAATATTCTCTTAATTATGCTACTGTTTCAACTAATAGTACTTCAGATGTAGAGGAGTTGAAAGGAAAGAGACCTCTAACTTTGTAGTTCAGTTTCTAATAAGTCATAAATAATGGTTTTTTAGGTGGTAGAAGCTGAAAATATGAGTTTGGAACTGTAGTAAAAGTATAATAATCTGCAAGTTTGTGTTAAAAATATAACAAGTATTGTAGTGATTGTCTGTTTGATATTGGAAAATAAGTTTGTAGTTCTGAAAAAAGGTCTTGGTATCTTTCAGGTAATATATGAAGTTTTGCAAAATAGTTGTCTGATAGTTTGTCAAACTTGAAGATTTTTCTTAATCCATTGACAGTAGCCCTTGTATATGATCTTTGTGTAATTGAAAATATAAATAGTAAGATAGCTTTGATATGTTCTGATATTTTATTATGGTCTTGTAGTAGTGATATAAGTTTTTCTTGAAGTATGTTAGTGATTACAGCTTTAATTTTCTTGGGTGTTTGTTCATTTTTATTTTGAATTTGCAGAAAACCTCATGCATAATAAATAGTTTTGTAGATTATAAAGGAAGTGTAGTTGGTAAGGTTAAGGTTAGAGAGATATTATGCAATAAGCATTTGCTTAAGCATAGTATTGATGGTTTTGCATATAGTTGTATCTGTAATTGTAATTTGATTAGTTTGTTTATATGGAGCTAGGGCATTATTGTATAAGTTAGTATATTCTTTTTGATGTGCAGGAGTAGTATTTGGATTTCTGGTAAAGGTAGTGAAGAACCTGGTGTCGAGGTATCTAAATTTAAGAAAAATTGCAGGTGGAATTACAAATTCAGTTGGTATAGTAACAATTTTATGATCAATGAAGTCCTGAATGCCAGCTGGTGTTTGAAGTGCTTTAGCAATTTTCTCATATGACCAAGTTTGTTGATCAAATGAGGTATTAATTTGTTCAGTAATTCTGGCTTGTATGGTTTCTGTCCATTCTAAGTTATCAATATCATTGAACCTAGGTATGTTAAGTTGTTTTTGGATAATTTGGCTATATATAGGTCTGGTATTATCAATGTTATTAGATATTGTAGTCGTAGAGATTGGAGATTCTATAGGTGTAGCATTGGATGGTTCTAGTTCAGGTATTGTTTGTGTATTAAATAATTGAAGTTTAGGTTGTTTTTTATTATGGCATTGATTGGTTGTTGATTGGGTTTTGGAAGATTTGATTGTGAGTCTGGTAGTTTCGACAAAATTATGTTGTAAGACAAAAAGGTGTTTGTTTCTTTTGGTATTGGTATCTTGTATTGCTTGAGCAATATTATGTAATGTAGTAACTAATGACTATGTTTGTGTAATATTTGCTGCAGGACCAGTAGTAAGATTGAATATAAGCTCATTATCTTGTAAAATGTTGCTTGTTTGTGATAGTTCATCTTCTGTATCAAGTTCTGTGATCATGTTGTATAGTATAAGTAGGAGATCTTTATTAAATTTAGGTGTTTTGTATTTCTTTTGAGTTTTTTTGTATAACTGAATTGTTAAGTTAAGGTTACAACTGCATGTATTTCTAGGATGTTTGGTGCTAATATTTATAGAGTTATTTCTTATTATTGTAAGGTCAAAAAGTATTGATTAGGATGATTTTTTGTATTTGTATAATCATTAAGTTGGGAATGTAGTAAGGTTAGCTATATGACCAGATTTGGTAAGATCTATAGTAAAGAGATATTTGTCAGCAAAGCTAGGAATAAGAAAAGTAACTGTAATGGTAAGTTTAGATAGGTCTTTTATAGTAATATTGATAAATTCTTTTGCATATTCAATAGAAGAATTAATGGTTAAAGTTGTAAGTGTAGAGTTACTTGAACTAGTAGATTTTTCAGTAAAATAGGCTAATAGAAAAGAAAAAAAAGTAACTTGAGAGGTTGTTTGGTTCAGAGTTTGGTTTGTAGGTTATCTGTAGTTTTTTTACTATTTTTTGAAGCTGCCATCTTATGCCTATATGTTGGATTAGTAAAGATGTAAAGGTCCTTAGGACCACTTTTGCTGAATTGTAAGTTGTTTGTTGCAATACTATTTTCGATGTTATTGTAATTTAGGACTGCTAGTAAATATTTTTTCCTGAGGTTTGCACCTCTTTTAGGTCAAGTTTACTGTATAGAACAAGTTTAATTAATAGTTTAAGATCGATTTATTTAGTAGTTATTACTTTATGTTCAATATAAAATTTTTTTTATTTTGACCAATTTTGGTAAAGTGATCTATGAAAAGAGTTTATTTTTTTTTATTTTTATTTTTTTTTATTTCTTGCTCAAACTCTATTTACTTATATTATTTACTTATTATATCTTCATAGTCACAGTAGTGGGGGGCAGGCCTAATGACAAAACTAGACTTGTGTCAAGCTAACAGTGAAAACAAAACAAAAAGAGCCAAATTTTCATTCATACTTCATTTAAATAGCCATTCTTCATGACCTCATACTTACCATCACTTAATTAAACTACTTTCTCTTATTACTAATAATGATCTCATTATTTAATCAATTATCTAATTAAACTCTTTTATTCATAGTTACTTACCAAACCTTATTGTTATAGGTAGGTAATATGATCTTGTAACAAATAACTGCCTCATAACTTCATTTATAGCATTTCATTTATCATTTGATTATTATCTCTAAATAACATAATATATATGAAATACACATAATGGAATCATCTAGAGGATTGAGTTACATTTTCCTTTCTCTTCTTGAATTTAACAATGCAATCTTATATATTGATTTCTCAACTCTCTTAAAACCCTATTTTTGTTGACACCTTATCTTTAACTGCATCTACCATCCTTAAATACAACATTACTGCTTTTAAATCCCATTCTTCAATTGCCCTTATTTGCATTAATGACATATTTTCTCTTATAGTTGCAGTCACACCCTTTATCCTTAAACTATAAAACATAAAAGGTTCCTTAATTCCTGCATTTTCTACTATTCACTTTACTACTGATGAAATTGTTACTACTGACATCTTCCTATCTACACTTGACAAAAATAAGATTTCATTATTTAAAGTATTTGGTCTTACCTTTAAATACTTATCCAACAATCTTATAGAACAGATTCTGCTCCTTGTACTTTTTACTAATACAAATCTTCTATTTGCAAACAGATCATTCTTTACTTTTCTAACTCTTATCCAAACTAGCCTTGACCTTCTTTCTATATCTTTAATTCTTAAGTTACATAACTCTCCTGGCCTATGCATTGTACACAATCCTATTGACACTAAAGCTAAATCTCTATGCCATATAATTGTATTCACTTTCTTCACTAGCCTATCATAATAACATCTCAATGCCTTTATTGAAAATGGGTCTTGTGACCAATTTGTCTCATGATCCTGAGCTTTTACTAATTTAATGCTTCTTATTATTTCTTTAATTTTAAAATCTTTTACCAGATTAACAAGACCCTTTCTTTTGTATTTTCTCATAATTGTCCCTAATAATTTCTGCATTTGTGCCATCATACTTGCTATTTCTAATCAACCCAAAAATGCTCTTACTGTATTTACTCTCACTAGACATGCTGTTTCCCCTAACTATTTGCAAAACTCCTCAAACCTTCACCATGCTCTGTTTAATCTCAGTTTATATGTTCTATTACCTGACCTTTCTGCCAAATTATTTGCTCTTTTTAATAATACTTCTTCCAATTTATTCTTGTTACCAACAGCTTTCATGCTGGATTTTTGTATGGTTTCCTCTGTCCTAATGGTCCTGGAATGATAATATCTACAGCTAGAGATAGCTCACCACTTCTTTTGGTATCTCCAAAAACATCAGCCACCACAATGCTAATATTCAGACTGGTAGAACCAACATAACCTTTGCTTTGCACTCCTAACTGTGTGTCAACACTTGATACATCAACCCAAATAGGGGAACATGCATAATTCACTTTACCTTTCTAACTCTGAGTGAAGCAATCTACTACCTCAGACTTCAGACAAAAGAACTGACTGTTGAACCTTTCTTTTTTTATATTCAAGTGGCTTGCAAAATGGTCTATTGTAACTAGTCCCTATCTTACTTCTAGTTTACCAAATACTTGATTATCCAATTTCTAATTTTCTATATTCTACTCTCTCATTAAGGAGTTTGCAGAATTTTTCTTGCTTGGAACCCACCTCACTTCATAGATCCACATATCATTTTCTGCACAGAACTACTACAGGAAACTTGCAAGATCCTTTTGACATAGACATCTTCTCCCATATTCTATTGTTCTTACAGCCACCTTGTTGTCTACAAATAATATCATCCAAAAATGCTTTAACATTTTCACAAATAGCTCTAACATCTGCAATACTGATAAACTCTCTAACTAGGCTATTTCTGTTGACTTGAATGGCCTTGGCCAATTCTCTGCTGCTATATGCTCCAAATATATTCCTTCCTAGCCCATCATTAATGCATCTATAAATACTGCCTTTATTCATGCTGGTTTCTACATTGGCTTGCCATTCTACCTTACTATATTCTCTCTCAACTACTTTACATCATCCAATGCTTTCTCTAAAAGTTGCACATCCTTATTTCAATACTAATGCCCCAATTGGCTACATCTATTATGGTATAAAACTCCATGCATTTTATTTGTGTTAGCAAGAATGCTTATGCCAAACTTTGAATTCTTCTTGTAAGTAATGCTAATCTACTTGCTAATATTGTGCAGCAGCTTTCTACTTCTTCTAACTCCTTTTGCACTTTTTGCATTTTCTCTTTTAGTATTTCAACTACACCCTTTTCTGTATTCATAATCAACTCAAAAATTTTTACTCTCTTCATCAGTTCCCAACTCCTTTGTCTAATGCTTTCATTAACTCACAAGTTTTCAAATCAACTCTTACTATTTTCTTTTTTATTGATAACAACTTCTCTTTTGACAGGCTCACTACCCAAACATCATTGATATAATTTCCATAATATATTCCCTGTGACCTCCATGAACCTATCAATGCTCATATTATTTTTGAAAATATCCATGGAGATTATGACAGGCTGAATAGTAGCACTATATAGTGAAATCACTTTCTCTATACCTAAAACCCAAAAACCATTAAGTTTAATTGTTCATTAACACATGATAGTATCTGTCTCTCAAATCAAACACTACTATTTATCAGTTTCTCCTAATTGTTCTCTGAAAACCCCTCAACTCTTTGAAATGAAAGGTTTTTTGGGTAGTATCTGATTTAACCTTCTCAAATCTATTATTAAATAATACCACTTTAGGCCTATTTTGGATACCAGAAAAACCAGACTCATCTTTAACAAGAAATCTGGTCTTTCCTCTCCTATGTGCATTACTCTTACTGCCTCTACTGTCTTCAACCTTTTCAACTCCTGCTCTATCCATTCCAACTCTTCTTGTAAAAACTTGAACTGTCTCCTGGGCTTCATTTGTGCTAATGTCTTTACCTCTTTTGGAAACAGTGGTATCCTGTTCTCCAACCATAACATAACTAGAGCTGCCAGCCTTATAACCCTTTCCTAATATCCCACTGACAATCTCAAATGAATTCTTTCTACTACTTTGTGCTCCTTTTGTTTCTTCTTCACCTAAGTGTAGTCAACTTTTTCCACCTTTTGTACTTGTTTCTCAAAAGGACTGACCTGATTTTTTCTAAGGACACTCCAATGCAATGTAACACTTTTCCTTACAAATAAAGTACACAATATCTGGATTCATTATCTTTCTTTCATACTTCTCTTGATTATACAATCTTGGACTTCTTTGGTTTTGCCATAAATGGTTTTATGATTCATCCTAAGCTCTGTATTGCCTCTGATAAGAACCCTGATTCAGCTCTACATTTCCATAATAGGGTCTTATGTTTGAATTAAACCCTGATTGAACTGGCTGAAATGACAGCCACTGCATTCCTTAATTCGACACCACATTTTCTATACTTACAGGCTATTTTGCAAATGCTGCATTTATTTTTGATTTACTTCCCAATCTCAGTCACTTGTTTTTTGCTAATTCTCTAGTATTTGCTAATCTTTTTTGAAAATACACCTCCATTGGATTATCTTCTAATAAATATCTAAACCCTGCTGCTATATTCCATCTTTCCTTATTTGCTACCTTTAACATAAATGCCCTTATAGCTGCTACATCTCTTGCTTTGGCTATTAAATCCTAATTCTTGTTTCTTAATGCATTATCTAAGTTCTTCTCTACTTTACACTATTCATTATATTTAAATTGATCTCTTGTTTTGACTAATTTCTCTTTCGGCCAATATTTATCCTCTTCCTTATTTCTCTCTGATTGGACACTTCTTCTAATCTCTTCTACCACTATCATAGTTGCTTGTACTGTTTTTTCCAAAGACCTTTTTAATGCTAAATACTGTAAATTCAGCACTCCATACTTTTGAACCTTAGCCTTTCTCTTATCATTCTTCAATATTTCTACTTTTCCTCTTTTATGCCTATATTTTTCTTTTTACTACTCACTCTACTATAATTGCTACTTTCTACAGCTTTCCCTTTAGGCTTATTAAATATACTCACTGCCAATCTTTTTATTAACTCCTTCTTAACCTCTGTTTCTAACAAACCTTCTTCTTTACACAACATTTTTAATGCTTCTAATGACAATCTGTCCAATCCACTTTTCAAACCCTGTTGTGATACTCTTTTTATACTTTTCTTCACAATATTATCTGAAAGTAATGTTGTTGGAAATATCTCTTGTATTTTGTTTTTATTCTCTATTTCATTCTTATTTGACTATGTGATTTAATAACAAAGCTAGACTTGCATTGAGCTAGCAGCAAAAACAAAAGAGAAAGAACCAAATTTCTATTCATATTTCATTTAAATAGCTATTCTCTATGATCTCATACTTATTATCACTCAATTAAACTAGCTTCTCTTATTACCAATAATAACCTCATTATTTAATCAATCACCCAATTAAACTCTTTTACTTATAGTTACTTACCAAACCTTATTGTTATAGGTAGGTGATATGATCTCATAACAAATGACTGCCTCGTGACTTCATTTATGGCATTTTATTTGCTATAATTCTGTAGTGCCATAATGCTATAATGCTATAATATTGAAGCAATTCTTGAATATGTGTCAGGTTTGTGCTGCAGATTTCTGAACTATGAATTAAAGATCAAGATCAAACAATGTCTATTTTGTTAAAAATCACTTATTTCTCAAAAATTAGTATAAAAAATCACCTTTAATTAGGGTTGTGTTATATAAATTAGAATGTTATATTATATGTAATTTTATATAAGTTTCAGAAAATTAAATTTTATATAATTTTTATATGTCATACATGTATTAGATTTACAAAAGCTTTGGTTAGTATTATTGCATCATTTGATTTAAATGTACAATTTGAATTGTAACTCATAAATCACCAAAAATTTGGTCTCAAAAACTAAATATTATATGTTTAAAATTACAAATAGGCCTCTATAGCAAAAGAATGCAATGAAGAATTTTAAATTTTGATCTTTAAATAAATATATCCTGTAATTTAGTAATTAGAATAAATTAATTTTTAGATAATTTAATTCATCTTAATAAGATGAATTAAATATTATAAAAATTAATTTTATTTTAATTACAATATTATAAAAATTAATTTTATTTTAATCACTAAATTACAAAATTTATTTATTTAAAGATCAAAATTTAAAATTCTTTATTGCACTCTTTTGCTATAGGGGTTTCCAAATACATGAAATTTCAATTTACAGAATCTTACACAAAATTATGTAAATTTATATAAAGTTACTAAAATTTAACAACTCTATCTTTAATACACTAATAAAAAGATTTTTGTTTATTGAGTAATTTTACTATATAAATTCCTTCCAACCATGGCCCTAACCCTAATATAAATGAGTATAAAAAATTAATCCTTGCAATCACAACAAAATTGTCACAGCAGATTCTGGCTAAGAGTAATGATTAAAAATTTTGCCAGAATTAAAGTTTTTTCTATTTTTGAAATAAAAAAGTTAAAATGTTAATTCTGGCCAGAAATTAGTAAACAATTATGTAATCCAGACAGATCCACAGACTGTTTGTTGATCATTGTGATGCAGACCTCCTATTTACAAATCATATTTCAAGAATTAGATATAATGTTACATTATTAAAAAACCTGTTACACATTCAAATAATCTTTAAAACTCATTACTATTGTTATCTGGAGAAGTTATATGACACATGACTATTGCTACTCCAAATTAGAGTAACTCAGCCCACTTAGGTGATTTTGGCTATGTAGACTACTATGGCTACATAGGCTACTATGGCTATATAGAGCACGAAAACCATGCCAGATAAGTATAAGTTGTAAACAAAGTAGTACACATAGTAGAAGTAATAGTTGTAGTAGATGTAGAATAACAAATATAAATAAAGAATTTTAAAATAAATAAAGGCTGTAAAGGCCATAGAGAAAGGAGAATGACACTTAGTACTTTGCTTTATTAAAATAATTTTTTTTTTAAATATTAACAGTAAGGCCATGCCTTTAACTTTATTGAAATTCAATTAAAGTTTTTACAAAGAAAAGC